ACTTTAGGAAAGAGAACAAACAAGGCAAACTTATTTTTATATTGATTTACTCCAATAGAATTACGTCTAGTTTTCCCTTAAATACACATAAGGGATTCCACCAATCTTTAAAAAATTACAACGAGTTTTACCCCTCATGGTTTACAAACTATCTAATTTGGATAGACGGGTTTACCCACTCCTGGTTCAACACTAGTCTTCTTGACTAGACTGTTTAGCTCAACAGAACTAAACAACTAAGATGTTTTAATTCACTTCTGAGTATAGTAACACAATGAAGGTATTTTTGAAAAATAAGTAAAGATTCAAATCTCTCGAAGAGAGAATAATTTCAATAAAAAGAAATATGAAAACATGTAAAATATTTTCTTTTATAAAAGAAGCGTTAGATGATGAAAGCTTAGAAAGAGAGTAAAATTGTAAGATTCAGAGTGATATTCTTGTTGTCTTCTCTTCATCCAATCTTCTTTATATTGTCGAGAAAGATTTATTACTAAAAGATCTGACTTCGGTGAGAGTAGGTAGCCTTTTAGGTACGAAGTCAAGTGCTAGGTTGAGTCTCGGTAGAGTAATAGTGCTTTTAGCATAGATGGCATGTACAACTTGTTCAAAGCATAAATCGTTAAAGAAACATTCTGAGAATGTCTTCCTATCTCATAACGTCTTTCTAATCTGGTGCAAGACTTTTGAATAAAACTTGGTACTTTCATGATCTACACAGATAAAGAGAACAAAACACCACAGACAAAGAATTACAAAACATGCATGCCTTTAATGTTTTAAATGTTATAGACTCTTTAGGCATATTTCATGTACTAAGCGTTTAACACACAAGTTTGTTTTTTTATTAACATATCGCTTACAAGATATAGCATTTAACAAAACTTTATTTTAGACGATTTATAATTATACACGCCTTTTCATCAAACACTGATTGCTTATGTTGTTTCACACTAATTTTAACAAGCATATCTTTTAGACGTTTTAATTAATAAACATTATTTTGTTAAGTATTTATTTGTTAAACTTCAAAACAAAAGGTGTTAGAGTGTCTTGTCTCTTTAAACAATCTTTTCTTAAGAAAGTGTATTTGGCTTAACCTTCAGTTTGCATTGACTCTTCTTGATGTTCATCCTATTCTAATTCGATCATGGTCAAATTTTCTCAACCTTTAACTAAGGCTAATTAGTTTCAATCTTTGATTTGGGTTGATGAGTCCATATTTATGCCCACATTTATGCTTTAAAATTTAAAATTTAATGAGATTCTTGTGTTTAAATGATTGATTTAAAATGAATTTGTGACGATTAAATTTATTAGGTTTAAGAATTAAAGAGTCAAAAAGTTATTTTTAGCGTATAAATTATTCTTCAATGTTATAATGTTTGTTCATGAAGCTAAAATTAAAGTTTAATTGATGTAAAACATGAAAATAAGTAGTCTTAATTGCAATAGGCTTAAAATCAGATTTTGTTTAGAAAAAAAAATATACAAATGGCCAAATAGACAATATTTACTACTAAACTTTCCTAAATTTTCGTTAGGGTTGGACAAAAATAACTAATTTGTACTGTACTATAGTTAACTATACTATATTATACTTAAAAAAAACTGATCCACTTTTAATAAAAGTTCAGTATACTATTTTATGGTTTAGTTTTTAAAAACTGAACTTATAAGAGTTTCGGTTTAGTTAACCGTGAGAACTGTATCTACTCTTTTCTCTTCTCTAGTTCCAGTTCAACTGTTTCGTTTTGCCAAAAAACGTTATTTAATAGTAAAATATTAATAAAAGAAACCGTTCACATAAAAAATTAATAATGAAATTTTTAAGACAAAATTTTTTTATCACAATTTTTTATATTTTTTTAATCAATAAACATATATTACTTTTTAAATAATATTATTTTAAGTAATAAAAGTAAAATATTTTTTTTTAAATTTAATAATGATTAAGTAATAGAAATCATAAAAGAAAAAAAGACTATATAAAAAAAATAATACTTTAAATATATTATATTCTTTAACATGTTATTAAATATGTAAAAATATGTTAAAATTTTTTTTAATGATATTAAAATGTGTGTAATCGCACATACTGAAATAATTATTTATTTTAAAAATCAACTTATTTTAAAATAAATATCAATATTATTATTTTTAAATGATAGTATTTTACAGAGTAAAACTAAAATATATTTTTAACGTTAAATTTTATTAAATGACTATATAATGAAATATCATAAAAAAATAGTAATATAACAAAAATAATTAATATTATAGAAATATCAAATGACAAAAAAATTAACAAAGGTTTATTAAGAGTAACTTTTTTAGTATCATCTTTTATTATATTATAATAATTAATTAATATTAGTTTAATTTTTACATAATAAAATATAAATAATAAATAATTGATTAATAAAACAATTTTATGAGAAAAAACTAAATATAAATAAAAAATTATTTTAAAATAAAATAAGTAGATAAAAAGATAAAATAAATTATATACACATATAAAACAAAAAATATAAATAAAAAATTAAAAAATAAATATAAAAGTAAAATAATATTCATGACAAAATAACCATAAATAAAAAGATAAAAAAATAAAATAAATAATAAAATAATTTCCATATATATATAATAATAAAAGAAATATAAATAAAATAGAAAATAATAATATCAAATAATTAAAAAGTTAATTTGTAAGACACTTATTAATAAAATAAAATAAAAATATTAAAATAAATTTCAATAAAAATATTATTGATTGTGATTAAAACGATCATAGTCAATAATGCTTGGAACCTTGTAAACCACACAAGTAATTCCTTTATTAGTATCACTACTGTATGGAATGTTGGTAATCCTCATAGATGTCCAAGGACCCCCTTAATTCCTGTGTATTTGTTTCTTGTTTTTTACTCTATTGCGACTACTATATTATACTTCTAATTAATACTACTACTTTCTAATTTCTACTTACTTTCCTTACTCTCCCATCCACGTCTTTCCTTTCTTCTTTCTTTTCCTTTCTCTTTTCATCCAATCCCAATTCTAGATACAAGAAAAGTAATGCATTTACTCCTCAAAACGTTTGCATTAAATGCACTATTGTGCTACTATTTCCCTGAAAATACATCTATTTGCCCCTTCTTTGACATACCAGTTTAATTCCTCTTTTATTGCTCACTTTCATATATAATTGATTTTATTATAATTCTTTCAAAATTTTCTATAGGTTCTTCACTTAAACTCAAACATTTTTCAAACATTAATTCTATTAGCATAATTTCTCACTTTTAATCTTGAATATTGCATATCATTCATAAGAGCCAAATATTGAAAAACAAATTCGTATTCGTTGAAAGACGACTTATCTACTTTATTGACTACTAACTTGACAATACTAAAATTACTTTGAAAAGTAGTATTAATTTGATAGCTTCAATGACAACATATCAAGAGCCAACTAGTCTCAACCTTTGGCTAAGGTCAACTAATCTCAACTGTTGGTTAAGATTGATTACCTTTGATAAAAAAGGATTAAACTTTTCGTTCAAATTGAGACTTAGACCGACTTAGCTTAATCTTTGACATTGTAGGTAAAATTGATTAAACTCTAAACAAAGGATAGATATAGTCAAGGATCAAACCACTTGACTTGAATAAAAAATCACATCAAATGACTTGAATCAAATAAAAAATCAAGATGATCTAACACATACCAAATGTCATGCCTAATTAGCCTAATAAGTTCAATTCGAATTACAAACCAAATATTTTTAAAAATATTTCAATTACTTTATTATCCAAAAACTCAATTATAAATAATTCAGATATTATGTAATTTAATTTATTATTAAAATTCTCGATTCAAACACCAGAAGTGAATTCATGTTTAGTTGAAGAGGGTTACTCCCTACACCATCCCACATTACTCCCTGCATCACCACACTTTTTTTAAATTCTAAAACTATCCTTTATATTTTAAAATATCCTACACCCCAACCTGTTGAGTTTTCTTTTTTCTTTTTTTAAATTTTTTAGTTTTTTAATTTATTATATTTTAAATTAATATATAAATATTATTTAATTTTTTTAAATTATTATTTAATTATTTCTAAATTAATTTTATTTTATTTAATAAAATAATTATTATTAATTTAATTTATGTACTATTATTTAAATAATAATTAAAATATTTTTAAAAAATTTATTAAACGGATGTCACGAATGTGCCACACCTTGAAGTTTTTCTTTTTAGATTTTAGCTTTTTAATTTATTATATTTGAAATTAATATATAAATATTATTTAATTTTTTTAAAATTATTACTTAATAATTTATAAATTAATTTTATTTTATTTAATAAAATAATTATTATTAATTTAATTTATGTATTATTATTTAAATAATAATTAAAATATTTTTAAAAAATTTATTAAAACATAGTTTTTAGTTTTTTAATTTATTATATTTTAAATTAATATATAAATATTATTTAATTTTTTTAAAATTATTATTTAAATGTTATAACAAGGCAAACTCTTAGATGAAAAGGAAAAAGCCCTTACTATTCGCAATAAGGACACACAATTCGTAAGATGGACCTGTTACGTGTACACAAATGACCGTGTTTTTGTTCCATTCGATTTCTCCCTGTTTAGAGACGAAAAGTGAGACACGTTCTGTAATCAGTTCAAACATAACCTTTCAGTACTTTTTATTCATTTCGTATTCGATTTTGAAATTACATTTTAAAAATTATCCGTTGTAACAATTCAATCCATTTCAACGTGAACAAGCCTATTAGAATAATTTCTTTTGACTGAGTTTACAAACAATTATATTTGAATTCCCACTATGAACTTTGGAACTTTAAAATAGATAAAAGTTTATCACAAACTTTTCCTATCAAAAAATATACTTGATCACAAATGTAGAGAAAATGGTGACGTTAGTATGCACGATGATTTAAAGGCACAATTCGCCAAGCAAGATCTCAGTAGATTACGATTATCTTCAGTTCTTTTGAAGAAACTACAGATAGATAACGCAGTTTTAGAACACCATCACAGATCCCATATATTTCCCATATATTTCCCAAGATGCAAACGTGCTACTGTGAAAAAACAAGGCAGACCCAACAAAATCTTAATAGAGCAAATACAAAACACAACAGAACTCTGAATCTGATATAGACAATCAATATTCAATAGCATCAAATAGCCTGAAGCAATACTTTAAAAGCTGCTGTGCAACTGTGATTTCGGCCACAACATTATGGAGTTTGTGACCCCAATTGTGACCACATCATGCAGTTATCCACAATTCCATGAAATAACAAAACCCTAACAAAATCACAATTACCACCACAATTTAAAGCTTTAGTCTGAACCCATACTAGTGAAGAAATCATACAACAATGCAACTCACTATACATACAAATGATCTTTTAAGCTCCATTATACGGATTCACATTGCATGACAAAAATCTAATAAGAACAACAATGGATCTCAGCGAGTAATGGTTATCTTCAATTCCTGAAGGAAGTTTCAGATAGATAACGCAGTTTAATTATAACATCACGGATCCATAAATCAAGCCAACTAACAAAAGAAATTAAAATAAATAAAAAAAATCAATTTTTGTGGCGTATGAATTGATAAAAAACTGATTTTTCTAGAAAAAAAAAATAGAGAGAGAGATTGAAGAAAGAGCATCTCAGAGTAATCATTCCCCATTAGTTTCTTCACTGGCAATCATAGTGCAAGGATAACATATTGGAATTGCTCATCACTGACGCTCGTAAAACAGAGACCTAACCACAACCTCTGAAGGTGATTGGAATCTAAAAGAGAGAATAGAATGTTTGATCCTCAAACTATGTTATTCAAATGAAATGGTAATGGGAATGGAGGAGGTTTCAAGTTCAACGATTTCTCTGCGGCGTGAGGGTTCTGAGAATTTAAAGAACTGCGTAGAACCTAGGGTTTTCTTGGGATGTGTTAATTTTTCCCAACTTCTTCAACAAGAAGTTATATGTATATATATATATATATATTCAATTGTAACAAAATAATTTGTCCCCAGCATTACATTACTTTATAATTGAGATACGATCTCTTAAACCAAATTTTCATTTTTAAAAATTATTTAAATTTAAATTTGACAATAAATACATAAAATTATTGACATTAACTATTATAAATTTTTTAATTTTTATGGAAACAAGTGCATACAATTTTTTTTCTCCCTAAACAAATAGACGGTGAAATAGAGATAAAATAAAATTATTAAAGCAAATAAAAAATATACTAAGAAGAAATATATTTTTGATATATGGAAAGATAATCTTCAAGATGTATTTCTTATATAACTTAATTTTTAATATAAGAATATATATTTTATCTCACTTCAACTCAAATGTTATTTATTAAAATTGAAATATTTTTTAAAATACAAAAAAAATATGTAACTTTGACAGAAATAGATTTCTAAAGATAATAATTAAATACTTTTAAAGTGTTATGCTACTTCATTCCTCTTATGTTCAAAATCCAGTTTGTTCGAGAGTAACAACTAATTTATTTTAAAATTCAATATCTAATATAATATTATAAAATTGGTTTAAATATATTTTTACCTTGCCTAAAATAAACTAATTTTAAGTTATAGTCCCTAATAATATTATGTAATATTAGATAGTTATATATTGGGAAGAAAAATTAGAATTAATTACATTTCATAATTAAACAGTGCAGTCTTTACACTAAGACCAGAGTTCAAAAACCAAAAGGCTTTAAGTACAACATTTACTACAATACTATAGAAGTACAAGTCAGAGACGAACGGTTTTACAAAACCAAAATAATCGAAAGTTCAAAAATCAAAAACTAATAACTAACATCTAAACAAACGAACGCTCTAAGGCTCGGCTTTGACCTCCACGTCTACCAGGTTTTCTTCTTCAATAACGTCCTCCAAAGTAGCCTCGCCTTCTGCTCACATCCACACGGATGATCATTGCAACGACAAGACGAACGTACAAAGACAACAGACAACACAAGGAAAAACGAAATGGTACGCTTATGTAATTTAATCCATACATCAACATATAAAATAAACATTTCAATCCACACAAACATATAGTTCAACATACAACATCATACGAAGTATATTACTAGACAGACTGTCCGGACTGTATGAATCTGTGTAGCTACAGGCGTTCTTGCACCCGGGTGATGTAGTAACTGGAATAATCTCATCAGCTGCCACCCGAGGTTAGCCCTATCCAAAGTACCCCTAAGGAATAGGACCTCCTGCCGTTCCCACACATGACCTACCCTCCTCTACGTGAGGACGAGTACTCATGGAACATCAGGATGAACAGCCAGCATTAGCATGCCCACAGTCATACTTTACAAAATTCCATATTCATCCATACATGAGTCGTTCCTCCCTGGAACGCTCGTTCAAATTCCACAACAATTATTTCATCTCATATACTGTTCTTTCATTATCATTCTTCACTTTAACCTCATTTTCGTCTTTCATTACAGTTACATAAAATAACGAACGTTCATCCCTCTTCATAACGAGGATGAACGTGAAAAACTAGACCGAGAGATTCTCGTTTCAGAACCGAATAAAACCGACACATCAGATTTACTGAACGTCATTTTCTACTCGAATCAGTTGAATGAACTGACTCTAGGAAGATCAACTCATTACTCAAAGAATAAGTTAAGTAGGAAGGCTCTTGACCGAATCCAAAATAGATAAAAACCCTCAAGACGTTTAGATGACCATACCGAGAATAATTTAATTATAAAAGCCGACTGTCAGTCAATGATCGAACGCGGTACACGGATTTACATAAATTTGGACGAACGTTATTTTCCACCCGTTTGGTAGATTAATACTAGGACGAGCGTTTCGGTATAAGACCGAGCGCCACTCATAACGAACGCTTTGAGTCGAGACCCATCGTAGACTTGCATTCATAATAGCAAATAGAATTAAAGGTAATACGAGATGGTGAAGATAGAATTTACAAATGACTAAGTGTCCAAAGGTGTAATTATAAGCTTCTCAACTCCTTTCATAACACTCGGGTATCTACGTTCGGCCGAACGCTCAAACGTAGTACTAATACAAGAGGGCGTTCGTCCTTAACTAGGATTCTTTCCGAATGAAAGAATCCCTTACCAAATCATTTTCACTGGAAAAACCGAACGGTCAAAGACCGTCCAGTAACGTACGTACACAATCATAAGGGAAATTTCTTATCATAGTCAATATTATCAAATTTCAATTTTAANATATTTGAAATTAATATATAAATATTATTTAATTTTTTTAAAATTATTACTTAATAATTTATAAATTAATTTTATTTTATTTAATAAAATAATTATTATTAATTTAATTTATGTATTATTATTTAAATAATAATTAAAATATTTTTAAAAAATTTATTAAAACATAGTTTTTAGTTTTTTAATTTATTATATTTTAAATTAATATATAAATATTATTTAATTTTTTTAAAATTATTATTTAAATGTTATAACAAGGCAAACTCTTAGATGAAAAGGAAAAAGCCCTTACTATTCGCAATAAGGACACACAATTCGTAAGATGGACCTGTTACGTGTACACAAATGACCGTGTTTTTGTTCCATTCGATTTCTCCCTGTTTAGAGACGAAAAGTGAGACACGTTCTGTAATCAGTTCAAACATAACCTTTCAGTACTTTTTATTCATTTCGTATTCGATTTTGAAATTACATTTTAAAAATTATCCGTTGTAACAATTCAATCCATTTCAACGTGAACAAGCCTATTAGAATAATTTCTTTTGACTGAGTTTACAAACAATTATATTTGAATTCCCACTATGAACTTTGGAACTTTAAAATAGATAAAAGTTTATCACAAACTTTTCCTATCAAAAAATATACTTGATCACAAATGTAGAGAAAATGGTGACGTTAGTATGCACGATGATTTAAAGGCACAATTCGCCAAGCAAGATCTCAGTAGATTACGATTATCTTCAGTTCTTTTGAAGAAACTACAGATAGATAACGCAGTTTTAGAACACCATCACAGATCCCATATATTTCCCATATATTTCCCAAGATGCAAACGTGCTACTGTGAAAAAACAAGGCAGACCCAACAAAATCTTAATAGAGCAAATACAAAACACAACAGAACTCTGAATCTGATATAGACAATCAATATTCAATAGCATCAAATAGCCTGAAGCAATACTTTAAAAGCTGCTGTGCAACTGTGATTTCGGCCACAACATTATGGAGTTTGTGACCCCAATTGTGACCACATCATGCAGTTATCCACAATTCCATGAAATAACAAAACCCTAACAAAATCACAATTACCACCACAATTTAAAGCTTTAGTCTGAACCCATACTAGTGAAGAAATCATACAACAATGCAACTCACTATACATACAAATGATCTTTTAAGCTCCATTATACGGATTCACATTGCATGACAAAAATCTAATAAGAACAACAATGGATCTCAGCGAGTAATGGTTATCTTCAATTCCTGAAGGAAGTTTCAGATAGATAACGCAGTTTAATTATAACATCACGGATCCATAAATCAAGCCAACTAACAAAAGAAATTAAAATAAATAAAAAAAATCAATTTTTGTGGCGTATGAATTGATAAAAAACTGATTTTTCTAGAAAAAAAAAATAGAGAGAGAGATTGAAGAAAGAGCATCTCAGAGTAATCATTCCCCATTAGTTTCTTCACTGGCAATCATAGTGCAAGGATAACATATTGGAATTGCTCATCACTGACGCTCGTAAAACAGAGACCTAACCACAACCTCTGAAGGTGATTGGAATCTAAAAGAGAGAATAGAATGTTTGATCCTCAAACTATGTTATTCAAATGAAATGGTAATGGGAATGGAGGAGGTTTCAAGTTCAACGATTTCTCTGCGGCGTGAGGGTTCTGAGAATTTAAAGAACTGCGTAGAACCTAGGGTTTTCTTGGGATGTGTTAATTTTTCCCAACTTCTTCAACAAGAAGTTATATGTATATATATATATATATATTCAATTGTAACAAAATAATTTGTCCCCAGCATTACATTACTTTATAATTGAGATACGATCTCTTAAACCAAATTTTCATTTTTAAAAATTATTTAAATTTAAATTTGACAATAAATACATAAAATTATTGACATTAACTATTATAAATTTTTTAATTTTTATGGAAACAAGTGCATACAATTTTTTTTCTCCCTAAACAAATAGACGGTGAAATAGAGATAAAATAAAATTATTAAAGCAAATAAAAAATATACTAAGAAGAAATATATTTTTGATATATGGAAAGATAATCTTCAAGATGTATTTCTTATATAACTTAATTTTTAATATAAGAATATATATTTTATCTCACTTCAACTCAAATGTTATTTATTAAAATTGAAATATTTTTTAAAATACAAAAAAAATATGTAACTTTGACAGAAATAGATTTCTAAAGATAATAATTAAATACTTTTAAAGTGTTATGCTACTTCATTCCTCTTATGTTCAAA